ATTTTTTCTGCTAATTTATACTTTTGTTTTTTTCACTATATTCAGTTGTTTAACTTTTAGCTGTTTTCTGCTATTTCAACTACATTTTTGCTCCTTTTTACAGTTTTTATGCAAAGTTAGGCTTTTTTTTTGCTTCTTTCAGCTTTTCAAATTAAACTCACATCAACACTTTGCTATTAATTATTTTGTGCTCAGTTTCAGCAGCTTTCAGCTGCTAATTTTAGCTTTTTTTCTGCTATTTCAACTACATTTTTGCTCCTTTTTACAGTTTTTATGCAAAGTTAGGCTTTTTTTTTGCTTCTTTCAGCTTTTCAAATTAAACTCACATCAACACTTTGCTATTAATTATTTTGTGCTCAGTTTCAGCAGCTTTCAGCTGCTAATTTTAGCTTTTTTTCTGCTATTTCATTTTTAATTCTGCTTCTTTTTGCTATTCTGTTATTTTCTACTTTTTGTGTTTCTTTAAACTTCTTTATGCGATCTTGTGCTTTTTATTCTTTAATTAAACTTTAGTTTTCAGCAGGAAGCATTCACATTAGCATTTTCACAGGAAATGCAACTTCTCTAGTTTTTGTTGTTGAAATGGTCGTCTTTGATTTTATTGGTGTTTTCTTTAGATTTTGACTCCATCTTGGTTTTTTTAAAAATTATTTATTCAAAAAAGTGCTTTAAGCACTTTAAACATCCCACCACTGATTTACAAAACAAAAACGATCGGATGCGTTTGGAGGAGTTTTAGGGTTTCTTGGTGATCAGTGATGGTTTCCTCAGGTCGTCTCCTTTTGTTTGACCTTTTTTATCGATATCCTCATCTTTGTTTTTCTGTCTGGGATCCTGTSTCCTCCAGATATCCGCGGCCTGCAGGGTTTCCTGGACCAGACGTCCCGTCAGGGGGTGGACGTGGCTCTGCAGAGGGTGGACCGAAACATCAGCAAAGTCTTCACCAACCTSTTCACCACCATGAGGACCGAGGAGCTGAACCGGTACCGGGACACGTTACGCAGAGCCATCCTGCTGCTCAGCCCCCAGGGGGCGCACACCTTCATCCAACAGGTCGGTCCTCGCTGTTATTCACGTCTTTACCAACGTGACCATGTGATCCGGTCTCTAATCTGGGATCAGCTGAGCGAACGTAAACAAATGTTGGCGTGTTTCCATGTTTATCGGCTGTTCAGGTTGTGTCACCATGTGCGCACAGAGTGGGTCTGAAAGGGTTAAAACACTAAAGCTCCATATTTAGAGTGCGTTGTATWTTTTGCTGTAAGTTTTCTCAGCCGCCTGTGACGGTTCGAGTGAAACCAATTAATGAGAAACATCCAAGAAGTGAGCTGGTTTGTGTGGGAGGAGAGGGTTTGAGTCGGAGAAATTAGTGCTCGTAGGGCAGAACTGAGTTCTCGTTAGGAACAAATGAGTTTTTATAATTAGGACACGGAGAAACACGAGTTAAAACGAATAAAATAAACAAGTGGATCGAGAACCTGGGAGAGGACAAAAGAGGAGCAGGGAGGAAACAGACAGTGTGTGTGTGTGCTTGTTTATGCTACAGAGTGAGGACTGTTGTTTTTAACCAACAAAGTGAGGACGTTTTACCAGTCCTGAGGACGTTTTACCAGTCCTGAGGACTTTTTACCAGTCCTGAGGACTTTTTACCAGTCCTGATATGAGGACGTTTTACCAGTCCTGAGGACGTTTTACCAGTCCTGAGGACTTTTTACCAGTCCTGAGGACGTTTTACCAGTCCTGAGGACGTTTTACCAGTCCTGAGGACTTTTTACCAGTCCTGAGGACTTTTTACCAGTCCTGAGGACGTTTTACCAGTCCTGAGGACGTTTTACCAGTCCTGAGGACTTTTTACCAGTCCTGAGGACTTTTTACCAGTCCTGAGGACGTTTTACCAGTCCTGAGGACGTTTTACCAG